CACAACAATTTATTTACTGCTTTAAGATTATGCTATGAATTGAGGATGATGTCNCAAAATACAGCCAGAAAGCTAATTTCAGAAATTTTTTATTGTGAGAGAAACCTCCATTCTATTTTTAGTGTGTTGTCATGTCAAGTGACAAAGGAATCCCCCTCCATGAACATCGACAGTTTTACGCTTTATCCAAAAGTTTCATCAAATTTTGACGACACACTCTTTCCGACATTTAATTATTATTTAAAAAGTATCCATCCACAAATATTAAACTGCATTATTCACGAAGCAATCAACATAAATAAATTTTCAACACCTTTAATGGCCGCAGCGATAAGAAGAGATTCCCGACTGGTGTTGTTGTTATTACGTCATGGAGCTAACCCATTACATCGATTAGGGGTGACTGGGGAAGGTGGCGACAATTTCATGCAGTCTCCCCTTGCGTATATAATAAGCAGTTTAAATAGTTATTGTACATTCATGAAATATTCTTTTGATTGTGGTAACTATTTTCATGCCACATTAGACTGTTTGCATGAAATGCTTAAAAGTGTTTGCAACATAAAAATCTCTGAAGCAGGTCTTCAGTGGAGCCATAAAGACCATATCAAGGACCTGCCTGAAAGCTGTTTTACAATTAATTCACAATTAGCTAAGTATTTGCCAGTAAATAAATTCCAAGCACCATCTTCTTTGAAACAAATATGTAGAAATTCTATTCGACATCATCTTGCAAATTGTGCAATTTCACAGTATTCCTTGGAAAAGGCCATCACTTGTCTTCCTGTGCCACTTATAATCAAGGAATATTTAAACTTGAATAATTAATCTTATATTGAAAGGATACAGTCTTTTATATATTTACATTACCAGACGATAGATCTCAATCCCAGCTATCTATACTACTTTTGCAGATTTGCGTGGATTCCCCTTTAATGTAGCAATAACTTACTATGGCGCTTTTATGACTATCATCACATCTAGTGTTTTTTTGAATATTAATATATTCCATTATATATCAAGTGGTATATCAGTATTTGAACTTATATATAATATTTATTTCAGCTATTTATTGATGTCATAGACTTATATTTATTATTAATTTATTTATTAATTATTAACCGATGCAGGCATTATGAATGTAATAAATCATTTATTCTAATTGAAGTAATAATAATCAAGAGATATATTTATTATTATTCAATATAGAATTGTTCATAATAGCCTGAAAGTCACAACATTCAATACTTTATTTTAGTTTAAAACTTGAATATGAGCTTGATTTTAATTCTGATAAGTGATACAGCATGATTTTACAATTTTGATCTCATTTCTAATTATATATCTCACATTATATTTATTTATTTAAATTATTTCTTAATTCAATTTAAATCCCCTCATTCTTAATATGAATATTAAAGGGATTGTAAAGAGGTTTTCTAAAATTGTTTATGCATATCAGGCACACTTAAAGCATCAATTTGAATCAGTCCAATTTTCAATCAGAAGTCTGTGGTTCCTGCAATTCCACTTTAACTAAGTGTTCTATGATGTCACCCCCACGAAATTTCCTTGTATCACACAAGACCTTGCGAAGAAGACATCATAAAACACTTAGTTTTAGTAGAATTGCTAGAACCAAAGACGTCTGATTGAAAATTGGAATGGTGCAAATTGATGCTATCATTGTCCCTGATACACATACAAAATTAAAAAACCTCTTTACAATCCCTTTAATATATTACATTATATATCAAGAGAAATATCAGTATTTAAACGTATATATAATATTTATTTCAGCCATTTATTGATGTCATAAACTTACATTTATTATTAATTAATTTATTTATTCAATTAAGACTTCCTGAGTTATAATTAAAATTTTCAAAAATTGCAATATAATTCCATGCATGATGCTTCTGTATAAATATTTCCAAATTAAGCATGCAATTATAAACTTATTTACAATCATATTTATTAACTAAATTTCACAATTATTGTAAATATCTGAATTTATTAATTTATTTTTGTGCTTCATTTTATTATTAACATTTATTTTGCAAATTTGTAAATATATTTATTCAATTTTATGTAACAACCTAATTTTTTCCAAATTCTTATTTTAAGAAATTTATTTTCATGTTGCACACTACTTGTATAACTATACTAGTGTAAAATAAAGAAATGTGATATAAGTGTGTTGTGTTATTAAGTATATTTTAGACGGTGGAAAGGAAATTTAAAGGGAAAGATTTGCCATTTTCAGACATTGATTTGAGTCTTGAATATATGTAAATAGTCTTCGATGTGCTAGAAATGTACAAAATTCTTGTATAATTCCTTCCAAAATATCTCAAACTAGGAATTCCATTGACTATGTATGTCTGTTCTACATTAATGAAATATTTTCACAGTTAAAATAGCACTCAGTATATCAATTGTTGAGAGTGATCTATGTCTTTTCTATATGCAGTCTCAAGAAAAGACCAGTCGTCTTTTATATTTTCAAATGCAGACTATTGTGGAGATACATGGATTTGAAGGCTCAAATTTCGACGATGAGCTGAGAAAACTATGGTGATCAATTATGCAAATCATTTCCAGTTTTTGAGACTTAGGTACGATTTTTCAAACGGATGATAAACCTGTCCCTTTAATCATATTAATAACACCTAAACAACTTTTTCATCTCATCTGCATTCCTTTAAACACTGGATGGGGCATGAGAAATAAGATTAGTTAATAAGTGCTATGCTGTATCTTTGCCCTCACCATAAAGGAGACGTCACTGTTAACAATCAACTTT